CTCGAAAGTGAAAGTAAAATGAGAGCGCGCAATCGAAAGCGGTTTCAATAGCGACTCCCTGATGCCCGCAATTTATATACAGTCGCCTATGCTTACCCAACGATATAATTGCGAGAAAAAGTATTGAAATATTTTTTTATCCTCCCATCTTGTAGGCTGTTTATTCCCTTACGGTTTCCATAGTACACTTCATTTCCTTTTCGACCACGGAACTGGGATGCGGCGGATTGTGGGAGAGGAGGTTAACATCGTGATGGCCGTCAGCCATCGGTGATGGACGATAGCATCGTCTATTGGCCCAACCCTAATATACAGTGGGTACGGAAAGTATTCAGACCCCCTTAAATTTTTCACTCTTTGTTATATTGCAGCCATTTGCTAAAATCATTTAAGTTAATTTTTTTTCCTCATTAATGTACACACAGCACCCCATATTGACAGAAACCCTTAGGGTTTCCATAGTACACTTCATTTCCTTTTCGACCACGGAACTGGGATGCGGCGGATTGTGGGAGAGGAGGTTAACATCGTGATGGCCGTCAGCCATCGGTGATGGACGATAGCATCGTCTATTGGCCCAACCCTAATATATATATATATATATATATGCCACTAAGGATGTTGTCACTGTTCCTGGCCCGTTCCTGGCACTAAGAAATTTGTGCCACAAAACTCATAATTAAGGGTGGCCTGATTCTATCAGTCATAGACAAGTTTATCATGGGGAGCTGGTACCTGACAGCTTCAGTGACGTTGTTGGATGTGTGTCCTGACAGCGCGTCGTGGAGGTTACGGATGAAATAGTCCCTGTACTCCTCCGGCAGAGCCATAAATGTGCCTCCCATCACAATGAACTCCACTTTATCCACGCTGTGACCAAGCTGCTTGAGCTAGATGTGCAAACACAGCAGCATAATGACATTAACACCATCTAATGAGTGGAAAAGCTGAGAGGATCATCAACCTTGCAGATGTACACCGTAAAATCAAAACCATTAAGTAGCTTATGATCCCTTAAGATTTTAACTGTACAATGCCAAAAATGCTGCTCATGAATAGGCACAGTGAAGATGACTCACCTGTTCTACTCTGTGCCTAGTCTGGAGGTAAGGATCGTATCGTGCACGGATGGCTCTCATTGACGTGGGCTGGGTAAGAGGGGGAATAGACAATCAAAATGAAGCATACAGCATAACATCAGTGCAAAACTCATTAAAAAAACATGCGTGATAGCATTGCTTTGGGATACAGAAGGATAATTACCTCATATCCTGTGTAAGACTGTGTGGAATATTCAAAATCCGAGTCCGGACCCCCTGGGCAGTAGCTGTTTGAGCAAATGAAAACAAACACACCACATAAACATAAAAACTAAGACTGGTTTTATCATTCTATTTTGCTCATAAAAGTTTACCCACCAACTGATACACAATGCTAACTGCTTGAACCAGATGCAGGCTCACATGGAAAATGTACTGTAAAAGGTTCATGGTGCCGTTCTTTACGGTGAATAGCTTGTGTTGTAGAATTACTCATTTGTAAGTCATTTTGTATAAAAGCACGGACTGAATGAATAAATGTACGCTATT